TCTAAGTGTTTAATGGCTCCATTCCGTCAGCCACTATTTATCAAGGACCCTGAAACGCATACTCGAATTCAATTAAAATTACTTTAATAATATATAAACGTTAATTACCTCGGTAAGATCAATTTTATACTTTTCTTAATAAATACCGTGAAGAGAGAATATGAAAAATAATACGTTTTATGTGACAATTGATTGGAATAATATATAAAATCCCACAAAAAGAATATACGTCAGCACATGTATTTTATTTTGTTTGGTTTAGATTTGCTTTATTATTTTCAGTTATAAAGTGAATGAAGCTTGGGGCCAAGAACCCCAATAAGAAAAAAAATATTTTTTAGTTAGAGGGTGTTTACTGGGTATTATCAGATGGAAGCAAGATAGAGAGGGCCGTGGTATGGCGGAAAGGAGATACAATAGAATAGATAGAAATATGCTCCACGACAGGGTGGGAATAGATGGAATTCCTCTTCTTGTCTAATTATTATGTCTATTCCACCCGTGAAATTGCAACCAATAGTGTTTAACTATACATACAAAATGTCCAAATCAGGGCGGTCTATCTCACAGTTTATGACTTTTTCTATCCGATTTTTCTTAATGCTTCTACCTTCTGGCCAATCATAAACTATTACTAATCTATCTTAGGAGGCGGTATATAACGATCGCTATGTCGATGTCCAATAAATAGCTTATGTACTATAACGTAACCTCTGATTTTAACATACGCTTTCATTTTCTCTGATTTTCACATACGCTGTTGTTTTTTCTCAATATTTGGCGCATTTTGGAACTCTGTTGGACATAATTTTACTCGTGGAATAGTTCTACCACTCGTGCTTTGGAAAATCTCAGATAAATTCCAAAGCACTGGTGGTATTTCCTATTGTAACGTATTAGCCAGCGTGCCTCGTGGCATCTATTTGGGGACGCTTGGTAGAGGATTAGCCTCGCCACAGGAAGAAGGGTTTTTGCGTAAAGGCATGAACGCGGAAACGGGAGACACAAGGCTTTGGCGTCTTCCGACTTATAGAAACCCTTCGCTGTTATAACAAGCGGGGGCGGTGGCGTGACGTAGTAGGTCACGTGGGCCTCGCCTATATAACAGAGTGTACAGAGCCAGTAGGTGGGTTCTGGAGACAGTGGGAGAACCTCGTGCGTGTGCACAAAACTTGGCGCCACGACGGTGCATATGCGAACCAGGCTCGCGACACTCGAGTCAGTAGTTGACGAAGCCTGCGGACTTTAGGTCTTTGGGGGACTGCGGTCACGGAGGAGCGATGCTGTGTGCGTGCTCCGAGGTGAAGAGTGGTTGAGTGCCACGATTCACGCCGATTCTCAATCGGATAAGATCGCTCCTGCGATCGAGGCAAACCAGCCGTTGGTGCGCCAGAACTTTGTGTCCCAGCGTGACATCCGGTCACGGAAGCTAGGCTTTGTGCGCGCTTCAAAAGTAGGAGTGGCGAATGCCACAATCAATACCATCTTCAATCGGGTTTGGATCGCTCCCGCGATCAGGGGATAGTAGGTCTATCAGAGCTAGGGTGTAAGTAGATTATTAAGTGTATATATTTGTTTTGTTTTCTTGTTAATAAATATATTTGTTATATGAAAGCTCTGTGTATGTGGTCGCTGTGAGTATCCATGACGTCACACTATCATAAATACCCCGGCAACGCGGGATACTTAATATATAGTCAAATATAAATCGTATTTCAGGCTCTTTTGTACCTTCACATAATGAAATACAAAAAGGTGAATTAAATCGAGCTAAACATAACTAGTTTTGCTAAACCAGCAAGTACAATCTCACATTACTTCTCACTTCTGTAATTTTCAAAAATTCAGAGGGCTTAACGAAAATGAGACCTGTGCCATTCTTTTAAGCGTCCTTTGTTCTGTCTGTGAAAAAAGTTTAGAGACAAACTTAAAAGCGATTTTTGAGATTAACAAAAATAATTCATTAACATCAAGCAAATATTACGTGGAAACTTCTCGCTTGTTTCATTTCCATCCCGCCCCCCCCCAAAAAAAATCCATCGCCTCTTTTAAAGACGTAAGTTTGTAGAACAGATTTTATCGAAGACACAAATATGTATGTAGAAGCTTGTAGTTTTACAATATTAACTTACAATATTTACAATATTGCACTTGTCGAATGTACAGGGAGTTTGACGGAAATGGAATTAAAACCAATTTGTTTACGGTCTTTTCGATACATACGAGAAGAAAGTTTGAAGAAAAAAGTTGGAGGTGGAGAAAATGAGAAATTAATTTTAGAGAAAATCGTCGGAACGGAACGGATGTTTTGCCGTCAATCGATTTTTCTGCATCAATGACCCACGAAACATGGATTTCGACTACACAAAATAATTTCCTAAACATAGAAACAAGATTTATCTACTTATTTGTTACTAGGGCCCGGTAATAAAAGTTTTTCTGTCGATAAATTGCCGTTTTCCGGCCCACGATTACAGTACTTTCTCTTCTTGCGAAGTCAGGCGAAAAAGTAAAAAGGAGAGAAGATTTCTCATCATTGTACTTTAACAATAGTGTCGTTACAGTAATATCGACAACAATAAGAAGCAGGGGTGAAAGAAGCTCCCTCAATTCTGCAAGGGATCGGAGTTTATCTGCATACACTATTATCAACGGAGATGTACTACTCGCGCAAGTTTTCTTGATACACGAGCTCCCTGGTCCTCATCCAGCGCTGAATAGCACGACAAGTTGAGATACTTAGGTTCGACTCGGAACGGCACGTACCAATTTACAATGCTAGCAACAACCACCTCGTACTTTCAAAACAATCCTATCATTTCTCGTGGCACGCTTTGGCGAGTTGTTTATGCCCACAGTTGGCACGCCCTTTTCAGCCGTGACGTAGCCAAATCCCTCCTCTCCCCGCAGCCCCCGCTATGGAATATCAAGAAAACTTGCGCTTATAGTAGGTGTCTACGATTATCCTGTATTGACCGTATTTGACTTCTCAGTGCCGGGCATATTATCTCTAGCAGCAAAAGTTTGTTGAAGACGGATGGCCTGTCCTTGCTCCTAACGGCGTCTTAATCGCTGCCGGGGGGTCGGGGTGCTAATACTTGTAGGAAGTCAGTGCACTGAACTTGCACCATGCAACGGCTCAGTTTAAGTAATTTTAAACTCAACATTTTCTCCCCTCTCCCTGAGGTTTATTATTTCGTGTTTCTGAGCACGTCAACGGCTACGGTCATTAGTCCCTTAAATGAAGTGCATGTTTTATTACAGGAGGAGGAGGTGGTGTTCATCCTGTGCCGAACGGCGAGCTCCGGCGCCGACCTAGACGCCGGCTTACTGGATTTTCGCTCTCCAGGTATCTCCACCACCGAGACAAGCTCTAAGCTCGCGATTGGTCTCTCGGCATGAGCGGCTGTGTAATGCATGTATAAATGTGTAAGGGGTAAGAAAGGGACGTAAGTTAGGGCAAAGAAAGGGACGGAATGATGCGGCGCGGTCCTTGGCCCGTTTGTTAGTATACTACTCCGGCAATCGATAGGGGAAACCACGGAAAACTAGTGGTCAGAGCGGTAGACCGCTGAGATTTCTCGCCCAGACAGCGGCTGAATTCGACCTAGCTAGATAGCTAATGCCAAAAATCCTGCTACCGTCGGGTCTCGCCTTGGCCACAGAGGCACTGCTGTGACATCAGTTTGTGTTCTAAGGTACTCCAGCCGGTACCTCTCTCTCAGGAAGACGCAAGATGTAACTCCAAACAGTAAACTTGTGTGAAAAGTAAATTACTGAAAATACGTGCTTACGTGCTGTAATAGTGTAAATAATAGAAAGAACTTTAGGCTTACGCACGGGGATGGAGCAAATTGCGTGGCCCCCGGAAAATTAGCTGTACGTAATAAAACATTTTACGTTCTAAACGTGTTCAATTCCTGATCAACCAGAGAATTTGAAAAAAACTTAAATATTTGGAGAAGAGGCTCTTCTAGCTTTCTGGCAACCTCGTAAATATTTAAACATTATATCAATTGCATTATTTATTTGCGTTATTAAAGTTATAATTTAATTCTCCTTATAGGAAATTTTATTCATTGACTTGTAAACTATGTTATATGTAAAAAAAAAGATGTTCAATACTAAAGGGGGCCCAGAAATGTGGTTGGCCCACTCTTATTTGGTGCTGCGCGGACACGTCTACGGTAAATACAATAAATAGTGAGTCTTGTGTGTGTGTGTGTGTGTGTGTGTGTGTGTGTGTGTGTGTGTGTGTGTAGATTTCTCCTAAACGCGTCCACGAATGTGCATACGCAGGGGATTTTGGAGAATGCAGGGAAACGGAAAGATATTTTTATTAATAGTACGAAGGTCACGACAGAATAGTAAATTATTAAAAGTTATTACTACGTTTGGTGCAAAACGAAGTTATCTCTAAATAAATCAATTGTATTTATTAATTTCTTTTGCAACCGGAGAATAATCAAGGAAATTTGATATATTCTGTAGTGAATAAGGGAAATATCCGATGTGTAACACTTATTATACATTTTATTGTTCTCTTTGAAGTAAAATCGATATACTCCAAAAGGACAATTACATAGATATAAAAAAATATAAAAATGTTACGTGTGCCACAGAAGTGTGTACGTAAATAATGTATATTCTAATAAAATGCAAAATACGTTACAAGAAATATAAACACGAAAATCTTTGTAAAATGTAAAAAAGAATATCATGTGAAGTTGATTCGACAAAGTCGCATCCAATGTCTCCACCAAGATTGGTACAGTAATCTAGCCAAGATCGAAATGTCGAGCTCTTCACTCAGCTCTCTTTTCAAGAGATGACTTCAATATCATACATGCCAAACTCTCTGAAGTCATCGATGCAGGTATGATTCCGCGTAGCATTCCAAAATAGTGATGATTACTCTGGTTTGGCCGCACCTAAGTGCCTCATCAACATATTGAAACGAGTGGGGGAGAGTTTCGACGATGTGGGATGATAGTATTTACTAGGCTGTCGGGGTGACGCCGCGTCCATGGCGAAGGTGCCTTCGCCATGGACGCGGCGTCACCCGGACAGCCTAGTAAATACTGACTCCGGCCGCGGAAGCCTACGCTCTCACATGTGGGATGATGTTGCAATAATCTTAAGGACTCGAGGTCCTGTGTCCAAAAGACCTCTAATGATAGAACGGTATGTGGTATCAAGTGTTTTCGATGCCTTCGGGCGCGGCACTCAACGAATACGCGTACGAAAGATAAACGGATTCTCCGTCGTCAATTGCATTTCCACAGCGGACTACAGAGACTTTTCGACATTAGATTCACCTCTTTGAGAATTGCATTTAAACATCTTCTTTTTCGGAAAATTCTTTATTAATGTAGTTGTCGTACAAAGCTGAAGTTGCAGTCATTTGTTTCAAATTGTATTATGTCCACTCGTAGACAAACAACATTTTGACTTATTTTCGTAATGTTTCTTATGCGCTCTATCATTCTTTGTATTTAAATTGTTTTAAATGACATATATTAGTGTAAATGAAGCGTAAAACCGAGTCGTTGTTTCTTATCGTGTTATCTTCTTACTCACGATTGATGCAAATCGTATTTTGTCCTTGGTTCTATTTTTCCTGTTGCTGGAATTTTAAACCTTTTTGTTTAATAAACTAATCAGTTGGTATTAGTTTTGCTGTAGCAGTAACCTTATACACCCTAGAAATTGAGAGTTCGAGGATGGTGGGTGCGGGAGTCAGTATAGGAACATGCATGTTGTTCACGCCGTGTTCTACCCTAGTGTTTGTAAAAACTGCAATATCCAAAAGGAATGGTTGGAATCATTTATCACTCACATTGGTGCATATGCAGAACAATTTATCCATAGAAGTGATCAAATTTAATAGAGATGGCGTGCAAATTGGCATAGCACAGCTTTCGTTTGTGTCACAGAAGAGGACAGTGTTATGCCACTCTGGCGGTGTAGCGTCGGCAAACGACGTGGAAACGTGCAAGAAAGTGCAGGTATGCTTTGTCGACGCCAAAGGGCACAATATTAGCATCTGAGTTAGCTGGAACGGGGCAGAATGATCGGTCTCTGGGAAGCGGGTTTGTCCTACCGTGACATTACGGCTCGAAAAGGGCGCACTGCTACGACAGAGATTCGTGTTTGGAACCAGAGCAGGGTCGTACATAGCGACGATCGGGTACTGGAACACGCAATGTGACCACAGTGCAAGATGGCCACCATCTTTCCGCATGACTGTAACCGACAAAACGGCGGCGACCGCAGTGTTTGTTCGACTTAGGCCAACGGGTGTGGTCATCTCTGCGTCGATGGTTCGACGCCGTTTGCTGAAGGTTGGTCTGGTGGCTCGCATACCACTGCGTCGGATTTCGTTGAACAGACACCACCAACGCCTCAGACAGCAATGGCCGCGTGAACATGTTCACTGGTGTGCTAAGTGGCAAACACTACGGAGGCTATCGCAATCTGCAGGCCTGCATGTTTCCTGCTGCTGTAGCGGACAAACGCCAAGTGTGATGATTTCATTCTGGCCCCCCTGCAGCCACTGTCGATGCTTTGTGGTCACGCTTAGAAACCGTGTGGTAGAGTGCTCCCCAGCAGCATATCCAGTCTCTCTTTGAATCCATGCCATGGATAACTGCCGATCGTAGCAACCGGTCATAGAATTCTCCTCCAGACAGCGGCTGAACTCGAATTAGATAATAATAGGTGTCTTGCTAGTGACTAAAATTTACCAACGTCTGACCTCGAACCGTAGAATCTCCGCGTCAGAGGGATTGCAGTGACAATTCGAATTCTCATGTTGTCTGAGGTATGTCAACGGAGTTCTAACGTAGAACTGTATTTGTACAGTGATCAAGTTGTCAAGTAGCTAGTAAAGTTCCTGCAACACAATGACAGAACAGGAAAGGATGCTGTTGATGCCGTATGTAGTTTTGGTCAGTGATGGGAAAGTTAATTGTTATCTAGCAGTAAAACGAATGGAAGAGCTTACTTGGGCATTTTGCGAATGACATAATAATTATCAAGATAACGATTGTTGTGCTAGCCGAAAACGACGCCCTGGTTTAATTTGTACCCACTGTTTTAATTTTTTTAGTGACAAATGGAAGGACGTGTCATAGACGTTGATCATTATTTTAAAGCGGTGAAACTAGAGTATTTTCTCAAATATAAGCTCTTCTTTCTTTCCAACAGTTGGCAACAAAAAATGGAGGGTGCTAGTTCGAGAGTATCTAGAAATATACCGAAAGCTGTCTTTTATTTTGCAAACAATGTTACGAATGAATAGTATTTGTCTACATTTAATAATTAATTCAACAGTTTTGTCATAGTGACATTTAGTTTTTGATTCCATTGGGGGGGGAGCATGGTACTTTAACTGAGAAGTGACATTACTGAGAAGTGAACTACAATACAACATGGCACACATACTGAACAATAGTTCTCTACATAATCCTTCAATCTCGTAGGTTTGTCTCTTTGTTTTACTAATCATTCTATGTCATGACGATAGAAAATATCTTCTTCCGAGAGCTTTTATCCAGCCGACAACCAGTTATCCTTCACGTCCCGATGGAACGCACATTATACCAAACATTAGACACCAACACACTTGCGGGCTTCTCTGATCTGCGGTCAGCAGAACGCGAGGCCCTCCCCGACAACACGTACTCGAGAGACAAGGGACAAACCACCATGCCCACGGCGGAAGTCGAACTCGTAACCATTCAGACAGAAGCGATGAGTCGAACCACGCGATTAGCCACTTTGCGGTAGAAAATCGCGCCTTGTAAATTCGTGTTTACCTTCCTGGTTAGCTGTTCGGGGCACCCGCAAGCACCGGCGCGTCCACTTCATTTGCGCCGCGCGATTAACGCGTCGCGCCCTCCCGCGCTCCCCGGGGCGCGGCGAACCGGCGGCAGGTAGCGAGGGCAGCACCGGC